CCGCCCGGGCCGGGCCGAGCCGAGCCGCGGGGCGGGCGCTGCGCCGGCTCGGCCGAGCGCTCTGCCTCCAGAAGCTGCAATTTCATTTGCTTCAGAAAAGCGTTATTTTATTTATTTAGCCCCTAATGCCCCCCAGCGCTGCCCGGAGGGGTGCAGAGTGTCGGCACCATCCTCGCGAGCCGCTCGGATCCGGGCTCTGCAAAGTTGCACCGGGGGATCTTGCGCTAAAGCCTTTGGGGGGGGTTGTCCCGCAACGCCGCCTTCCCGGGGGGCTCGTGCACGGAGGCAGGCGGGGAGCGGGGGGCGTCGCGGGCCCCCGGCCGCAGCGGCTCCCGCCGCCGCTCCCGCGCCGTTCGGTGTGACCCGGGGCAGCACCTTCCCTAAACCCGTTTACATTCAGTCACGGGCTGCTGACTTACAAAGGGATCATGGCAGCCGGCTCGGGAGATGCAATCGCGGCGCTGCCGCGGCTCGTTACGCAGCCCCGCGGCTTCCCGCCCGCCGGAGCGGCCGAACCGCCCGGCCCGTTGTCGCGCGGGACGCGCAGCGGGCGCCCGGGGACCGCGGCCCTTCCACACGCTGTTTGCAGGAGGCCGCGGCAGCTGGCGGGTTGCCCGGGGGCATCCGCGGGGAGGAAACGATGCTTTTCGCCCCGCTTTGCAGGTGATGCTGGTGGGCGACTCGGGGGTCGGCAAAACCTGCTTGCTGGTGCGGTTTAAGGACGGCGCTTTCCTCGCGGGCAGCTTCATTTCCACCGTGGGAATCGACTTCAGGGTAAGTGTCTGCTAGCGGTGTCGTTAAACCTGGCGGCTCCGCGCGGAGGCTGCGGGGTTCAGCAGGTCGCTGCGGTTACTGCACAGAGTGATAAGGAAGCTTCAAAACCAGGACCCCGTTGCCTGCACGGGCAGCACGCGGGGCCACCCCGGGACGGCAGCACGGGGCCCCACTGGCTGCAGCGGCGCCGGGGGAGCCGCTCCGCTCCCGCGCGGCGCCGGCAGCACCGGCTGCTCCGTGTCCTCCTCGCCGAGGACAAAGTCCAGGCCCCTGCGGGCACCGTCCTCCGCGGTACTCGGGCATTTCCCGGGTAACTGCAGGTGCTGCCTCTGCCTTCACTCTCCACCTGCCTCAGCAGCCGGCGCGGGGATGCCGGAGGGCAGGTGTCTCGGGACTGCACGGATAGAGTAGACCCCCGGAGCTTTTATTCTTTCTAGAGCCTTAAAAAAAGACACGCAGCAAAATTGCTGTGAGGGGCCTTGCAGCAGAGCCGCGCCGAGTTGTGATGCTGGTGCCAGACTGTAGGGATGTGCAAACGTGGCTGTCAACAACAGCGGAATCCTCCTCTCCTCTGAGATGTGGAGTGAGAACACAAAATGTGGGAGCAAGTTCCGAGGGACCAGGAGGGTGCAACAGAGCCTCCTGTAGCATGGGGAGCCGGGGATGCTTCTTCCTGCCTCCCAGAGCTACCTGTGCACGTGGGTCTTGCTCATGTGAGGGCTGCCGGGTGCTCTGCATCCCTGCTTTTCTCCAGGGAAAAGTGGCACTGGGAGCAGGGCTGCTCTGCGCGCCTGGGCAGCCTCTCCCGACCCAGGCTCTGCGGCTCCGGGCACCACCGGGGCAGGGAGCAGCGCCTCCCGTTACTGCCCTTTCCTGGGAGCATGCGGTGATGAGAGATCTCGGAGCTCGGAGAGCGGCCGAGTGCCAGTGTGGGGGACAGCAGCACCGTGCATGGCATGGAGCGAGCCCTGGTGCTGGCTGGAATGATGCTCCCAGCTCCTGTTCCCGGCTCCCGCTCCCTCCTGCGAGAGCCGGTTCGCGGCCAACAGTGAGCGGCCTGTGGGTGGTTGTGTCGTTTTGTTGTCTATTTAAGAGGTAATAGTGCAAAGAGGGGAGACTCAGGTAATAAAAATGGCATTTTGCTCTTGTAAGAGCTGAAGAGGGACTTGTTTTAGTGCCTCTGGAGTCAGAGTCGTTGAAGGTTTCCTATATTTCATGTCGAGAAGAGAGAAGAGCACTGATGCTTCAGAATTTCCCCCGCTCTGGCTCCTCGTTGCGCTCAGGTTGAAGCCGGGCGGGAGGAGCGGGGCCGCTGGGGGAGCTTTCCCATCCTTTCCATGCGGTGTGTGTCCCGGACGCGCGGCTCCAGGGCGGCAGCCGGCAGCGAGCCGCTGGGCACGGAGGCAGCAGAGGCCGCCCCTCTGCTCTGCCTTGCGGGAGCTGGAGTAAAGGCGAGATCCTGAGCTCCGTCCCCTGCCTGCAGAGCGTCCCGGAGGGTTTTCCAGACATGTGGGAGCCGGGGAGGACACGTGGGGTGGCGAGGAGGGCACGGTCACTGGCCGTGGTGCCCTGGTGTCCTTGAGGGAGCCGCGGTGGCCTCCCGGTGTCCTGACGTCCCCATGGGAATTGTCTCAGCTAGAGCTGCTGGGGACGAGGGCTCCGTGGGCAGAGGGCAGGAGGCCGAGGCCATGAGGCTCCTCGGAGCTCTCACTGCCCAAGCAGTGGCTGAGGTGCCCGCATTCCCTGCCTCTTACTGGCACCTCCGGACCATGCGTGTCCCCAGAGCCCATCCTGTGGCACGGTGGCCGCGGGGATGCCCTGGTGTAGCCGGCGCAGGGAGCCTCGCTGAGGACGATGAGGAGCCGTGAAGCAGAGGGAGGAACTCGCCGGGCCCCGACAGGAGCTTCGGGAGCTGCGGGCTGGGTCCGGCTGTGCACGAACGCGCAGTAAGAGCAGGGGCTGTGCAGGCACCGCGCTCGCGGGGCAGGACGAGCCGTGTGGGCGCTGCAGGTGTCCCCAAGCTTGGTGCTGCTTGCAGCGACTCACAGCTTGTGAGAGACATGGAAATGCAGCAGTGTCGCTGTAGCTGGCATTGCTGCAAGCGGCATCGCCACAGCCGGCAACGCTGTGCCTGGCATTGCTGCAGCCACCATTACTGCACACCCAGCATCACCACAACCGGCATCACCGCACACCCGGCATCGCCACCCTCGGTGTCACTGCACACTCAGCAGCCGAGCACGCAGCCTCGTCGGCTCCCGGCATCCCCAAGGGCAGCCACGAGCACCGGGTGCTGACGCTGTCCTGGGAAACGCTCTCTCCTCACACCTCCCGCTTCCCTCCATCCCAGGACCCTTCTGGGCGTCTCCGCTCCTTTCCTTGGTGCCTTTTCCAGATGAGGGTCTCTGGGCTGCTCGTCAGCTGCTGCACGAGGAGCCCCTTTGTGGGGCAACAGCTGGGGAAAGAGATGAGCGAGCGCTCAGAGCTCCTGCAAGATAAAGGGGCTTTCTCCCACACAAGGCTTTTGGTCCACAGCAATCCTGCGGGTTGCAGTGGCCTGGCTAAAGTTACCAAATCAGCACCGTAATTTTGTACACGGGTAATTACCTGGTATTTCAGCTGTTCTTAAAATGAAAAGCATTTTATTACTGATTGCAATGATTGATACCGAGGGCAGTCTTGAAATCCTGTGACTTATTGACTAGAGTGCCGGCTGCTGCTGCGGAGCAATCCAACTCGGGCTTATTTACCTCTGCCATGGAGCCACTCGTACTGCGTGCGGTGGGTCGTGCAACCGGGGAGGCCGTACACGTGCCCTAAAACTTAGTGTGCTATGCGTGCAAAGCCCCGAACACCTTCCTTGTGCAGGGAGGTCGTTTTGCGTCCCCGTGTGTGCTGGGATTATCCATGGCGGGAGCCGAGGCAGGCAGCAGGGTGGCCAGGGCCGGAGCCCCAATCCCCCTTTGCGTCCCAATCCCCCTCCTCTAACAAGGGGCTGTCCCCTCGGCGGGGCTGCCCATGGCTGGGCTCCGGGGCCAGTGTTGGGGCATGTCAGACCCTTAGGTACGCGCCAGGCTTGGGCGCAGCACAGCCGAGTGCGTAGAAGGCCATTGAAAATTAATCCGGCATTACAGTTCCTAAGGGCCCCCTCGTGCTGCCTTTTCCTACCCCTCCTCCCATCGCTTGACGTTATCGAGAACCTCTGGTTGTTTGCAGTAGTCTCCTGAAAAAGGATATCATCATAAATAAATTTGGCGAAGGGAATGGAATGATGCAAGGGAAATAAAAACGTTTCTCTTATGTGGAAATGCATCAAAATGGTAGCTGCTCACGTCTCCGTCCGGGAGCGTGTGGCCTTTTTTGGCTTTGTGCCTCTCCACACTGATTCTTTCCGTGGTGGGAGCATTTTTAGCTCCTGCGGAGGTGTGATCCCCCGCTCCGAGAGGGGCCCGAGCCCTCGTGCGGCACTGCCTGTGCGGGATGCAGGGTGCTCGTGAGCGCCCAGCCACCCACCAGGGCGCGGGACGGGTGTCTCCGTGCGGTGCCCGCGCTCCCGGGCAGCTTCCTGCGGCGACAAGGGCTGCAATTGCTGTTATCCCCTCAATTTGCCCTAGGGCGGCTCGGGGCTCCCTGGCCTTCATCCAGAGCGGAGGAACCTCCTGGGTAGACGGGACCATTGCAGCCGGGACCTTGGCTCATTGGTGTCCACGTGGGAGCGCTGGGTGCACCAGGTCTCCCCGGGTGCTCATTGGGTTTCGCAGCCTTCGCCGTGCTGGGGCACTGGCTGCAATGTGGGCAGTTCCTCGGCACACGTCCCGGTCCCGTGAGCATGTTGAGCCTAGGCCGTGCCCAGACCGGGCTGCGCTGTGGTAACCACGGCACAAACCTGCGTGGAGGCTGGTGCCGCCAGCCCCGCTCCTCATGATGCGGATTGCAGCGTGTCCGGGGCCGCAGCTCCCGCGCCGCGGGCTCCGCGCTGCAACCTGCAGAGTCGCTCCTGTGAAGATTTTTGTGCTAATTGGACCCAAAGTGAGAAGAAGGGGTGAAAAAAAAATGAGGCTGCGAGACCTCTCCTGGGAAAGAGGCGCTAACAGCTTCCCGGCTGGCGGGGATGGGAGCGCTGGCTGCGCGGGGGCGGGTGCTGCGCTCCCTAATTAAAAGCTGTCACCGTGACCCTGGGCTTTGAGGACGCTCGATTGCTTTGAGCCCCTGTCCTTGGCGGCTGCAGTCAGCAGTGGGTGATGTGAGAGAAATTGCTTGCAGCTCTGTGTGCGTCCCCAGGAAGGCGCGCGGCTGTGTGCGAGCAGGGCTGGCGCCCGGAGCTCTGCGGGGATGTTCGCCCCTCCCGCAGCGCCCGGCCCCCTCGCAGCCCCTCGCCCGCCGTCTGCCCAGGCCGCTGGAGCGGAGCCCGGGGCGCCTGCGCCTCCTGCTCGCGGCTCCTCCTGTTTTATTCATGCTCCTCTGGCTCTCGCCTTTGGAAAAACCACACAACCTGTCGGCTCCGCTCCTGCAGCACACGAGCGAGCAAGCAATGAGCAAGCGAGGAGCAAGTGAGGAGCAAGCAACAAGCAAGGAGCAAGCACGCCGTGGCCACCCCAGCGGCTCGTCTTGCCACAGGGCAGGTGGCAGGGGACGAGATTGGCGCCTTCTGAGCGGAGCGATGCCCGGTTGTCCATGGGCGAGCGCCCGAGCCCTGTCCCTGCGTGGGACACATCGGCAGGAGCCAGCGCCCGGCCTGACTTCCTCCCTTGGGTTCCCTGATGTGTGTCCGGGGGATGCGGTGCTCACATGTCTGGGTTATTTAGGATGTCCCGTTTAACATCTAAACGAGCCTTAGTGCCTGGCCAAGCCACCTGGATATTTAAGGCAGGAGCCGGCTCTCGTCTGCTCTTGTAGTCGCAAGGAAAGGTTGGGTTGGGCTGTGCAGGACTGGGGCTTCCCAGGGAGCAGAGGGAGCGGCAGCAGCAGAGCAGCCTGTGCGGTGCGGCCGCGGTGGCGCCCGGCGCTCCCTCATCCCTCCGCGGTCACTGCTCCTCATCCCTCCGCGGTCACCGCTCCTCATCCCTCCGCAGTCACTGCTCCTCATCCCTCCGCGGTCACCACTCCTGGTTACGGCTCTCGCCAAGAGCCGCTCGCATGCGAGCGCGCCCGCCCGCACACCGCTCCGCTCGCTCCCGCCACGGCCGCGCGCCAAGGACGAGAGCCCTGCTCGTTACTATGGGGATGGGCGAGGGCCGGAGCAGCCGCTGCTCTGCGGTGGCCCTCGATGCTCCGCGAGCGGCGCTGCTGCCGCGGGCGGCGTGGCCCCACGCGGTCCCCAGCGCCCGATGGGCCCTTGGCGCAGCCGGAGCGCCCGGCTCCCCAGGGAGCCGCCGGTTCCCGCAGCCCCGTCTGCCTCGCGGGCGCCTCGGGAGCCGTTAATCCCGGCTAAGCAGCAGCTCGTCTCGTCGCCTGGAGCGGCTGCAGAGCCTCTCAGCACAGCAGCCGGCGCTTCATGTTTATGCATGTGCGGGAGGGAGCGTTTCAGCGCCGCGGCAGCGACGGGTCCCCCTGGGCTCGAGGGAGGCGACGGGCGGCTCAGGGGTCCTACAGCCCCGAGGCTGCACTGCCAACTTGTGCAGTTGGCAGCGCTCGGGCGCGTTGCCTGCTCGCCAGCGGGCTCTCCGGTGGCTTGCCGAGCGCGCAGCGTGGGCGGCGCGCGCCGTTCGCAGTGGTGAAGCCGTTCTTAGCGAGGCCGCGCCGGGCTGCCCTGCTGCAGCGCACCCCTCTTGGGTAACTGCTCGCGGGCAATGGGGGCGATGGGCGATGGGGGGCAGCAGCCGCCCCGGCCGCAGGGGCCTCGGGCTGCTCCGTGGGGAGGCCAGAGGACTGTGGGGCCTCGTGGCCTCGGCCTTCCCGGGAACGGCCCCAGGCGCTGCGGCTGCAGCCGTGGCTGCCGGGCCCCTCCACCTCGGATCCCCGACCAGGGCGCCAGGCCAAGCTCAGTGCCGTCGCTGCGGGTTTCCTTGAGGCAGAGCTTCCTCCACCACCGCAACGTGCTGCCTATGTAAATGTGCAGCAATTAACGGCAGAGGCGCTTGGCAACGCCTAAAATAACCCTGTTCCCAAGGGAGCGCTGCCGCGCGTGCGGCTCCGCCAGGCGCTGCACGTGCGGCCCACGCCGTGCAGGGCGGCAGCGCGGCCGGGCCTGGCCCCATGTGGGCATCCCAGCGGCACCGGCTGCGCCTGCCCGGCCGTCGCTGCCGCTTGGGTCCTGCCCGGCCGCTCACATGGGAGCCAGCCCTGCTGTTCTGGCTCCCATGGGGTCTGCAGAGGTTTGCGCCGGAGCGTGGGCGCTCGCCTGGCTCGGTGCTCCCAGGAGTGCCCGGCACGAGCAGCTGCACCCAGCCCCTTCCCGGAGCCCGCGTGCGGCTCTGCTCCCCCAGCCCGGGATCCTGGCAGGCTGTCCTGCAGCTTTGGGGGCACGCTGCAGCGGGATGCACACTGCAGCAGGATGCACACTGCAGTGGGATGTCATGCATGCTGCAGCAGAATGAGATGCACAGTGCAGTGGGATGCACACTGCAGCTGGATGTCATGCACGCTGCAGCAGCATTCGCACTGCAGCAGGATGTTGTGCACGCTGCAGCAGGATGCCATGCACGCTGCAGCAGGACCGCAGTCCGGCTCTGCAGGGAGCCGGGACCCCAGCGCTGCTGCAGGGTGGTGGACAGTGCTCGGCGCCTCCGGCCCGGGCTCTCCTGCCTCCACAGCAGGGGCCCTGCGGACCGCGGGCATCGTCCTGCGGATGCGGCCGGGATGCCGAGGCCGGCTGGGCGTGGGAAGCGCTCAGCACCTGCAGCCAGCGGCGGCTCCGGCCCCACACCACAGAGACGGGCCAGGCTCGCGTGGGTCAGAGAAACCTGATTGTAGCCCCGGAGCTGCTCTTGTCTCCCCGGGTTTTCCTCTGAGGATTCAGCTGCTCCCCCCAAGAAGAAGCCTGCTTAGGAGAGAGCCCTCCGGTGCTTCAGCTGCAGCTGGAAGATGTGCGCGTCCGTGCAGCTGCGTGGTGGAAGGCTGTGGATTAGTTCGCCCGGTCTCCGGGGATTCTTGGGGGCCGGGAAGCGCTGTTTAACACGGCGCTCGTCTCGCGTGGGTGCTCCGTCCCCGCCCGTGCCTGCGAGGACGTTCTCTCAGCCCGGGTTCCGCCTGCTGAGTGCATCACAGCGCGTTGTAGCGTGGTGCCGGCAGCCGCGGGCGAGCTCTGCCCTGCATCCGTGCCACCTGCGCCCGGGCCAGCCCGGCTGCCCACGCAGCCCCGGCGGCCGTGCCCTCCTTCCCCCACTGCCGAGGGGAGTGCTGATTCTTCCATCAGGAAGCCTAAATTCCCATTAAATGACGAGTCCCCATTTGAGCTAATTAGTTTCAGCGCGTGCTGGGTCAGCCCGGCAGCCTGTCCCGTCCTCGCGAGGGTGCCGAAGGTGACACTGGCCTAACTCGCAGCAGTGAAACCATCCGAGGGGATGTTCCCAGCACACGGGGAGCTCCTCGTTGCCGCTGGTGTCCAGCACATGTGCCAGGAGCTGCGTGGCTTTTACCCTCCTCCTCTTGAAACCTCCAATGGTTTCAGCAAACAACTTCTGGAGAGTCAATATAATTGCGCACCGAGTTAATCCATGCCTCCAATTTAACTTTTAAGGGATTAATTAAGAAGTTAGTGCTGGAAAGCCGCAGGGCGCTGTTGGGCAGGACGCAGGGGGCTGCCAATGTCACCTCTGCTGGTTGAGCTGCAGGCGGCTGCGGGCTGCGGAGCCCATCCCTGTGCGGAGCAGCTTGTGCTGCAGTGCCCAGCCCGTGCCATGGTGCCCGGCCCGTGCCATGGTGCCCAGCTCATGCTGCGGTGCCTGGCTCGTGCCGCGGTGCCTGGTGCCCGGCTCCGGCCTCGCCTGCTTGGGGAGCTTGGTTAGCACTGCTGGCTGTGTCGCTGCAGGGCAGCGAGCGGGCAGTGGAGCTGCAGCTCCCTGTACGGGTGAAGGGGAGGCTGGGGAGAAGCCAGGGGCCTAGACACTGGAAAACGGGACCCTGCGCGGCCAGAGCCGCGACCTGCTCCTGCCGAGAGCACGGGGGTCTCTGCCCGCACCCCAGGCAGCGGCCAGGGCCCCCCCGCTTCACTTCCAGGTTTTAGTTAGGCTCAAGTGTTCCTTCCTCCCTAACGATGCAGGTCAGCAGTAATTAGAGCAAATACTGCTGCCTTTAGTTGGGCTGTTAATTAAGCTGCTCCAGCAGTTGGTCCATGGGTGCCGGGGGCTGGCCCTGCTCCAGTGCAACGATTGGGGTGCCAGCTGCCCCAAAAAGGCCCCGACCGCCCCATCCCATCCCGCATGCTCCCGTGCTCCCGCCCAGGCTGGCGTGGCGCTGCACGGAGCATTGGGCTGCCCTCACCGGAGCCGGGCGGCAGCAGGACGTGGCCGGGGAGGCTCCTCGCGGTGCGAGGCCGGGCAGCGCTGGGCACGGAGCGGCTCCGGGATGGGGGACCGACCCGCGCAAGGGAGGGACCCTCCGGCGGAGCCTCCGTGCAGCAAATCCGCGCAGAAGCGGGCGCTCCCCCGCGCCGCCGCCGCGGTGCAGCGCTGCGGAGGGCTCGGCGGGAGGGCGCTGCGCGGCCAGCTGGCTGCTCCCAAGGCGCTACCTTTGCTGCCGACGCAGAGCAGTTTCTATTTATTTGTTTTCCACAAAATATTCAGCAGGCGCTGGCCGGCCCTGCCGCTTGCGCGCGGCCGTGGTGGCTGCAGCTCCCTTCTCGCCTCTTTCTTTGCAGCGAGTGGGTGAACCTGGAGAGAGCTGAGCAGAGCGGCGCGGGCGAGAATGGTGCTGGGGCCGGCAAACTCCGAGGGCGTTTGGCCCATTTAGGGAGCCCCTCCAAGCCCTCCGTCCCTGCAGAGCACGAGGGGATCTCCCCAGGGTGCTGCAATCAGCGCGGGGGCTGCACGGGGACCACGTGGGGCCGGTGCTGCTGGGCCCCCCATCCTGCTGCGCGCGGGGCGCTCTGGAGCCTGCGTGATGCTCACCCCTGCCCTGCTCTCTTGCAGAACAAGGTCCTCACGGTGGACGGCGTGAAGGTCAAGCTGCAGGTGGGTGTCCCGTCCAACCGCGCCTGCTTCTGCAGCCCCCGCGCCGGAGCTGAATAACGGCGTCGGTGCCGCTCTTCCCGCCGTGCGCGCGGCATCCTGGAAACACGTCGCTGCATTAAAAACTGATGGATTAAATTAGCGGGGCCCCCCGTGTCCATCTGCAGGATGGATTTTCTGATTAAGGAGGCCTTGCAGGCCCTTGGTCACGCGCGGGCATCCCCGTGGTCACCAAGCCGGGAGGCGCCTTGGGAATATTGATTGTCTGTGTCCCTTTTCCTGGTCTCATCCTGGTAAATGGATCAGATGGGATGCCGCATGCTCTCGGGCGCGCGCTGCCTTTCCCGAGGCCGCTTCGCTCGTGTCTCACCTCTCTGCTCCCCTTCAGATCTGGGACACGGCCGGGCAGGAGCGCTTCCGCAGCGTCACGCACGCCTACTACCGCGACGCGCACGGTAAGGCCGCGGCGCCCCAGCTGCGGCCCCAGGGGACAGGGTCACTTGTCCCCAGGGCGTTCCCTGCAGGAAAGCAACAAGGAGCTGTTGCCCCTGGAGCCGCAGGCCCTGCCGCGCGGAGGGATGGCTGGCGATGGCCTTGAAGCAAGCGTGTCTGCATCCTGCCGCGGGGCCGTTAGCGGGGCTTTGGCCTCCCGTCCTCGTGCGCAGCCCGTGGGGGAGTGCTAGAAGCTCCGTGCGTGGATAGAGCCCCGCAATGGATGTGCTGGGTGGCCCTATGCACCCTGAGCACGTAATGAGCACCATAACGAGCACATAACGAGCACTAACACCCCTTCCTCTCTCCGCAGCCTTGCTCCTGCTCTACGACGTCACCAACAAGGCTTCGTTTGACAACATCCAGGTAGGAGCAGTGCTGCCCCGAGGCCCTGCGGGTCTTTCCGGACTGTTTGGGGTCATTTTCCCCGTGAGGTTTCGCGGGAGGCTCCCAGCCCAGCCCGGCCTCTGCTCCCGGGGCTCCCGGGCCGATGTCGTGCACAGTGGTGGCCTGGGCTGTCCCCGCTCGCGCACGGGCAGGATCCGCACGGAGCCCTGCCCGGGAGCGGGGCCGCGCGCTGCGTCCCGGCCGCAGCGAGCAGCAGAGCTCCCATCCGCCGCGCCGGGAGCGCCGCCACGGCCGGGCCCTGCCCCGCGCGCCCGCCGGGAGCCGCGTTCCCTGCGGGCCCGCAGCCGTGCAGGTGCCCCGCAGCCCCTCGCCCATTTCTGTTGCTCACAGGCCCCTCCAGGGCGTGGGATGGGTCAATCCCCGCACGGAGCGGGGTTTTGTCAACGCGGTGCCCAAACCCCATGCACAAGCAGGGGCTGCCCGGCCGGCAGAGCCCCCGCGGCCGCAGCTGGCGCTGGCAGGAGTGCAGCATTCCCCAAGCCGGGCAGTGAGCGCGGAGCCGCCGCCGCAGCAGCGTGGTGCAGCCAGCGGGGCAATTAGCCCTCAGTAAATAGGATGCTCTTTCTCGTGTGCGTCTCTGCGAGCGGGGGTGACACTGTCGCCAGGAGGGTCCCGATTGCCCCTTGGTTTGGGGGGGACATAGGAGGAAGTGGCAAAGCCCTGGGGACGGGAGCAGGGCCTGGCCGAGGTGCTGAGCGCCCCGGCTGTGCGCGTTGCTGTTTGCTGCCCCCGTGCAGCTAGACCGGGCACAGAGCCCCCCGTGGTGCCAGGTCGTGCCGGCTTTTCCATGGGAGCTTCCCCAGCTCCCTCCCGCCGTCCTCCCCGCGCTGCTGCTCACGCTGCTGCTCTGCTCCTGGCTGCAGGCCTGGCTGACCGAGATCCACGAGTACGCGCAGCAGGACGTGGTGCTCATGCTGCTGGGGAACAAGGTGCGTGCGGCCGTGCGGGAGCCCCTGCCCCTCTGGGAACCCCGACCTGAGGGGCTGCCCCCTTGGGAAGGTGCCCGGTTCCTTGCCCGTTCCCGGCCTGGGAAGGTGTCCCGGTTCCGTGCCCATTCCCTTTGCCGGCTGCCCCTGCCCGTGCGGAGCCCCTGGGCGTTGCATTTGCCTGTGTCCCTGGGGCGGGCGCAGGGCTGGCTGCGCAGCTGGGACTCGTGAGCCGAGCGCCCCAGGCGCCCTGAGCAGCCAGGCTGAGCGGCAGGAATGCCGCGGATCCCCTCCTGGGAACGCGGGATTGTTCATCCCGATCTCCCGGCCGGCAAATCCCACCTTAGCCTCCTCCGAGGTTTCTCCTTGCTGGAGCAGCTGCTATAAAGCAGCTTTGCCAATGAAGGGCAGCTGACATCTGCCTGGCCCGGGTCCCCAGCGACGCCCCAGTCCCGGGCGCTGCGGGGCCCTCCTGCCTCCTCCTGCCCGTCTGCCTGAGCCTCCCGGCGCCTGGGAAGCCGCAGGGCACCAGGGCAGCGCGAGAGGCAATCGCGGCCCTGCGGGCACCACGCGCCCAGGCACGAACCCGGAGCCTGCACCCCACAGCCCCGCCGGGATGCCCTTCTGGGAGGAAGGATTGATCCCTGTTAACAATAATGTAATGTTTGTGCTCGGGGGCTGCAGGCGAGGCGGGGTGAGGAGGGGATGTGGGGGGATCGCTGAGCGCTGCCCTTCCACGTAATGGGAAATTGTTCCGTTGTTGCTGTCGGTAGGTGGATTCCACCCAGGACAGAGTGGTGAAAAGGGAAGATGGAGAGAAATTAGCCAAGGTAGGTGAGGAAGCAGGTGCATCCTTGCAACCCGCCTGGGCCTTTTCCTACCCACCGCAGCAAGAGCTCTGCCCTCCCCGCCAGCTGCAGCCCCGTCAGCTGGGGCTCCGCAGGGCCAGGAGCTCGCGTGCCTGCGGACAGTGACACTTCTGATGTCCCCTGTGTCTTGTCCTGCAGGAGTACGGAGTGCCCTTTATGGAGACCAGCGCAAAAAGTGGCTTAAATGTCGAATTAGCCTTCACAGCCATTGCCAAGTAAGTGACGGTGGCCCTGCGCGACGCAGGAGCCTGCACTGCCACCCCCGGGGACCAGGGGTCACACAGAGCTGGTGTGCCCAGATCAGCTAGTGCTGCCAGGGCGGGTCGCCAGCCCCGGGTCCCAGAGGGGCCGGGCGGGTTGGAAGCGGGTTCCTGGCTTTGCTTGTCTCGCTGTGAGCCCTGCTCTCAGGCACAGAAGTAACCTCTGTCCCCTCTCCTGCAGGGAACTGAAGCACAGGTCCATGAAGCTGCCCAACGAGCCCAAATTCAAGCTCCATGACTACGTGAAGAAGGAAGTAAGAGGCTCAGGCTGCTGCAGATCCTAGTGTGCTTGGTGCATTTGTACAGAGACTCACGCCAAGTGCTCGTGTGCCGCGCGCTCCTCGTGGACAGTGTGTGCATGTCTGTCTGTTGTGTCTGTACCTGCGTAAAAGGAGAGCTGGGACGTGTGGAGCGGAGGCAGCCGCGACGCCGGCCGCGCTGCCCTCACGGTACGGCCTCGCCGGAGAGGCTCCGGTGTGCGGAGGCTCGGGCCTCGCCGGGCGCCTCCAGGGCCACCCGGGCCTGGCTGGAGCTCCCCGTGGGGATGATGCCCGGCGGGCAGGGGCGCTGGAGAGGCCGCTCATGTCAGCACGGCCAGGGGGTTCCGTGGCCGCGGAGGGGCCCTGTCCCCCTGAATGCTGGCGCCGAAGCAGCCCCAGTGCAGGTCTCCTCTCCGTTCCCGGCCGGGGCGCCTGGCAGAGCTCGGCTTTCAAGGCAGCCGTTTTCGTCACTGCTTACGTGTGTGCGCCCCTCGCGTGTCGTAACAAACCTGCCTCGATGGAGAGTGCCCTTTCCCGTGCAGAGCTTAGGTGTCTGTTCGAGTGAGCTGCTGGAAGCATTCCTGTTGTACAGAGAATTCCTGTTTAGCTGTTTGATAAAGGCTTTGGTTCTCCGTCACTGCAGTTTCTAGTGTTTTAATTGAGGAGAAGTGTAATGTGTTGCAGCTTACTGTGAATTCCTCGATGCTTGTGAGCCCTTGCAGCCGGCAGCGGCGCTGGGAGAGCTCCCGGAACGGGGCCAGACCGAGCGGAGCGGAGCGCCCGGCACTGCAGGCTGCTGCACCCGGGTCTTTGGGGGGCCTTTTCGGGGCCCCGCGTGCTCCCCCTGCCCTCGGCTGCGCTGCGCTCGGTTGGCTACGTGAAGGGAGCAGGGCACGAGAAGCGGTTCCTGCAGCCGCTCTTTCGGCACAGGAACAGATGAGGAAGGATCCTAAATCCCTCGGAACACAGCCCTTTCTCCTCAGTTTTAATATGTGCATTCCCAAGCGTGGATGAAGCTGTAAGCGGCAGCTCTCCCAAATGCCGGGGAGATTGTTGGTGGAACAGGTTCTGTGGGAATTCGCTGCCTCGTGCACGGGCGTCTGTCCCAGCCAGCGCCCGCTCCCGGCCGGCAGCACCGGGACGTCCTGGGGGAGCTGCAGGTCCCCGGGAACGAGGCAGCCCCGCCCGCTCCTCCCAACTCCCCGGGGCCAGCCGGGCCAGGGCCCCGCAGGGACAGCAGGCGGGTGACGGTTGGGGCTCTGAGAGCCACCGTGTCCCCCGCAGCGGCAGCCGGGGTGTCCCGGGGGAGCAGCCGCTATCTGCATTGCCGCAAACTCCACCGTCCACCCCCGTGAATCCCGCGCAGCAGGGACATCCGCGTGGGGCTCACCCGCGCTGAGAAGGGCCGGGGCTGCTTTACACGGGGCTCCAGCCTCTTGTAAGGCAGCCCGGCCTGCTGAGCACATGGAGGCCGCGTGGTGTTGGAGGGCTCCGGGGAGGCCGGGCCGTATGGGAGTGCTGTGGGGAGGCCACGCGGTCCGAGGGCTCCAGGGAGGCCGGGCCGTATGGGAGGGCTCCGGGGAGGCCACGCAGTCCGAGGGCTCCAGGGAGGCCGTGCCGTATGGGAGTGCTGTGGGGAGGCTGCGCGGTCCGAGGGCTCCAGGGAGGCCGTGCCGTATGGGAG